AAAAAAAAAAAAAAAAACATTTCCGCTTCGTTGATTCCTCGACACGCACGCCTGCGATTCCGACGTTTTCCGGTGCAACGAGCAGTTTCCGGAGGGGGGATTTCACGGACCATATTCGGAGAACACGCGATGGACACGAATCGCGAAGGTTACGAATCTGGAGAAAGGATATTTGTACATAGGACTCTCGCGAGGCGCTTCTTCCGGTTGTCGTGCTTTTTACGACTTCCGCGTGGTAAATCGTCCGACGTTTTCGCGTGAAATTTCAGCAAATGATCTCTCGATGTTCGTACATTGTCGCTACCGATTTTTGAATTCAGAGAAATTTTAAAAGAATTCCCTTGAATTGGGGAACCACGTTTGAACAAACTTGACCGCCGTAACTTTGTTTCCTCGACCCTGGAAGTTCCATTAAAAAAAAACGGAGAACCCTCTGCACACGACACCAAAAAAGTGTCTTTTCTAATTAATTCTAATAATTATCGAGCCAGCAGAAACTAGGAGAATCCATGCACGCGCAAACGTTGGAAACCGCATGAAAGTAAAAAAAAAAAGAAAAAAAAATAGAGAGAAGCTAGTTTTTTCTTCTTTATCTTCGTCGAGCTGTCGTGGGTATCATTTTTTTTTTCTCTAACCCCCTGCTGGTTTCATTCGATTTAACTCGACGTGACCGAGAGTCAGCCGCTATTTAGGACGATTTCACTCTTACTACCTTTCTGAAAAGCTGCTGTCGCCGAGAGGAGGGGGGTAGGAAAAAAAAGTGCGCGGATTCGCCGCCACGCGGCCTTTGGATGCAGTCGTCAACGTCGAGGAACACGCGGCTGGGAAATTCTCGGTGGTTGGCTGCCTTCGCTTTTCTCTCCTTCCTCGGTTCGGGCTCGTTAAATTTCCCAACTCGTATACTCGTTAAGCGGACTTAATTTCACGGAACTCTAACAAGCGTGGCCCTTCCTGCTTCCGGCTTTAAATTCGAGGGTCCTCTCGGCGCAATTTTTCCTCACCCCCCGCCCACTTTTCTCGTAGCACACGCTGCTGCCGCAACCGGGCGCGTATCTTCCACCTAAGAACAAGGTTCGGAGGGGTTCATTCTCGCGATTGTTTCGCCCCTTTCCGCGAATTATCCGAGTGTACCAATCTACCCCCAGTTTAACGGAATTAACTTTTTTTCCGAGGGCGTGTATACCAGAACCGAACCTGGGGTCCTTCCTAAATGAATTCTGCTTCTTTTCTTTTGTCAGGATTATTACGATCGGGAAATATTGTTATTGTGAGTGTCTTTGTTTCTATTGTATCGGATTATTTTCATTTTTACATGCACGCTTTTTCCCCTTGTCGCAAAAACTTTCGTATCAAAGGGTGATTATCCCAATTAATAAAGAAATAAATATAAATGTAAGTTCAGGGGAAGCTTTAAATCTCTCGATCTTTCTGGTGAAACAAATACAAAAGAAAAACAGGAGGTCCAATCCGTGAGATAAATAAATAAACGAGAGGAATTGACAATTCGAATCTCGTGTCCCCCAGTGTGATCGATAACGACAGCGGATCGAGAAAGCATTTTTTAGGAGGCGTGCCATGGAGCCATTATTTCCCTCAGAAAAGCCGCGGTCTCTTTCGGTGAAAAACCGCGGGTCCCCTTACTCACAGCCCCCCACCCCCACCGTTTCCCCTGCCCCCGGATAGACACGTTCAAATGGAACACGTGCATATATCGAAAATTTGTCACGTCGCGAGAGGCCGCGTTACGAAATCCCACAAAGTAAATGGAGGTTTTATGCAAAACGCGCTTTCAGTCTCTCTCCCTGCCCCCTTGCCCCTCCTCCAACCCCCTATCACCATCCCTCTCCTCGGGCAAATGCGCCACCATCGCGTTTCTTGACGGCACGCTCTTTGTTAACCGCTCACCCGCAGCCCACTTCTGTCACGCGTGTCCGACGTGGTACCACGCGACATTTTCCAGGAATTTGTCCGGGATTTATTTACCATTTCCATCCGAGAACTACACACACACACACACACGCGCAGCATCTCTCCGTTTCGAAATTGTTTTCGGCCGAATAACTACTCGGCCACTCCACGTCGAATCCTTTCGGATAAACCGATACCACGGGGAATAAAAATCGATCCAGTAAATTTATTTTCTACCGATCTTTTTTTTCCCGTTGATAATCGACCTTGGAGGACGATCATCTCGATCCTCGATTTCAGCTTTGTGGCCTTTCGACGACCAGACAGACATTATGAATTGTTATTTTTAAATTATGTGACTGATATGCGTATACAATGTATAAACATACATATATGTGAGATTTAATCAGGAGATGTTAAGTTTGATGTGAATATTATTTAATTAAATGCACACACTTTTACAACGCTTTAAATATAATAACACGAACACGATATCATTATGATAATACAACACGACAACTCAGAGTAACAACTCGGAATGAATAATTGATAATGAAAACATGATTTTTTAGATCCACTGACGTACAAACTCGGCTTCCTACCATTTGGTATCGGAAAAGAAGGGCCTCCTACCATTTGGTATCGGAAATTACTGAAATTTGGACCAAATTAACATTCGATCTAACATTTGTTTCAGTACTTGACATAAATTTACCAACTGGTAGGAGGACCTTCCCCTACGCCACTTTTTCCCCTAGCTAAAACAGAGTTCGCTCGCGAGGGGTACACCACATTGAAGGGTTAAACTTAATTCGTTCAAGATCGAAGCCTCGAAAGAACGAAAAAAAAAAAATAACACATTCTTTCGACTGTTCTCGATCCATTTTTTTTTCGTATTCATCCCACACAGAATCGTATTCACCCCTCCCCATCGCGCGGTTTTAAATATGCAGAAGTCAGTTCGGCGCCAAACGGGGAGCTTTCGGTCGAGTCAATCGAACTTTATGGGCGGATCGTGGAGCCCAGATGGAACGGTTCAGTGTCGTGGTCTCGCAGTTCGATCGGCAGAGGGACCGAGCGATAGGCCTCTCTACGACCCTCTTTTTTTTTTCTTTTGCGCCCCAAACGCGCTAGGACGGCCGCTGAATATTCCGACGGAGTTCTGAATATTCACACGCGTGTTTTCGTAGCTTCGATTCTCGCTCGATGTACTTCCACTTCGCGCGGAACTTCCGCTTCTCGCTTTCCTATCTCTCTGGGTGTTTCTCCGGCTTGAAATAAAACCAGTGCGGGGTGAAAGTATGGGCGTGTGTGTATGTGTGTGGAGGCTACTATCTCTTGCTGTTTCCCCCCGTTTAGAGTATCGACCGAGAGAGTGGATGGCGGCTCGCGAGCACTCCGGGATATTTACCCGGTGCTCGTCCCAGCGATTCCGTCGACAGAGCACCCCCGATATAACGTATATATTCGCGCCTGGCCCTCCAATTTCGGATACATCGATTTCGCTTCCGGCGGGAATACGAAAAAAGCCTACCCCCACCACGCTTCGGCAGCCTTAACGAAAATCGAGCGTCGCGTGTCGCTTCTCCCCTCCTTCGAAACCGTTTGATCGTTCCGCGGC